AGGAATGACGAGGAGAAGGCCAAGAAAGCCATCACGGATGTGAGTGGAAAAGGAGATTTTTATTTATGTGCAGAATTTCTACCCCGCCTTTCTGCCCTCATCAGGGCCACCCAGGCAGCTAACAGATTAAAAACATACACCATTTTTAAAAAAGCACATCTTAAAAACTGTTAAAACCAAACAAAAACAGAATGTGGAAGGGGAACCAGCAACCAGGGGTCCCCAGGGAAAGTTCCTCACCCCGAACTGAATGTCCTAGACCAGTGATGACGAACCTTTTAGAGACCAAGTGCCGAAACTGCAACCCAAAACCCATTTATTGATCGCAAAGTGCCAACGCGGCCATTGAACCTGAATACTGAGGTTTTACTTTAGAAAAAACCACTCATACATTAACTTAAGATGATCCAAACAAAGTAAGGAACGCAATCCCAAATGCTTTCATTTACTTAAAATTATTTGGCAGAGAATTCAACACTTTAATGATGGTCTGGGCCTGGCTGAGGCGATGGCACGCGTGCCCACAGAGAGGGCTCTGAGTGCCGCCTCTGGCACCCGTGCCATAGGTTCGCCACCACTGGCCTAGACTCTCCGAGCCAACCATCTTCCCCTGCTTCACTGTCCCCTCGTTCTTCCAAAAATGACCGAGGAAAAGTTGAAATGACGCTGAGGGAAATGGCCCTGAGGGAAATGGCCCTGAGGGAAATGACTCTGAGGGACTTCTGCCTCAGATATCGGAGTGTTTATTCTCCTCATCCTAAATCAACATCTTCCTCCCTTCACATTGCCAGGCGGCCATGATGGCGGAGGAGCTGAAGAAGGAGCAGGACACCAGCGCCCACCTGGAGCGGATGAAGAAGAACATGGAGCAGACCATCAAGGACCTGCAGATGCGGCTGGACGAGGCCGAGCAGCTGGCCCTCAAGGGCGGCAAGAAGCAGCTCCAGAAGCTGGAGGCCCGGGTGCGGGAGCTCGAGAACGAGCTGGAGCTGGAGCAGAAGCGCAACGCCGAGAGCATCAAGGGGATGCGCAAGTGCGAGCGGCGCATCAAGGAGCTCACCTACCAGGTGTGACGGCTCAGACGTCATCTTTCTGGTTGGGCCTACCAAGTTGTGGCAGTCTGGGATAACAATCTGGATTGTCTGTGCACAGCATTCAGAGACAGATTGGGGTGTTAAAAGAGGCCTGGAAGTGGAGCTAAGAGGCCCCCCATATTGTTGGCCAAGCCTAAGCCGTTATCATTGGCGCCACGAACCTTGTTTATTTTATTTTATTTCATTTCTTCCCCGCCCTCCCCGCACGCGGGCTCAGGGCGGCTTACAAAACACAGAGGTGTAATACAACACCACAACTTTAAAACAATTAAGGCACACAGTGCAATAAAAATACAGGTAAAACAGTTTAAACAACATGGACAAGCTCCCAGGATCCATCGCGACTAGTATGCTCCCTCCCTATTGTACATCACATTGGGGTCGATGAGAGGGGTGCCGTGGGCCACGATGTTCGGTGGCCAGTCAGCCCAACCCGGCGGTACTGCTCTGCGATTGCCCGTTGGTGGTAGTGGCAGCGGCGGCTCCTATTCGAAAGCCTGGCGGAAGAGCTCCGTCTTACAGGCCCTGCGGAACTGTAACAGGTCCCGCAGGGCCCTTATCTCCTCCGGGAGCTCGTTCCACCAGATAGGAGCCGCCACCGAAAAGGACCTGGCCCTTGTGGCAGCAAGCCTGGCCTCCTTAGGGGGGCCGGGGTCACTAGGCGGTGTTGTGACCCCGACCAAAGTGCTCTTTGGGGCCTGTATGGGGAAAGGTGGTCCCTCAGGTATGCGGCCACTCGGTTTCACTTGCTCCAGGCCACGAGGGACTCTCCTCTGGACAGCGACCCGCCAGGACCTTTCCCGGGTGGAAGGGCCGGTCCGTCCCTGGCAGTACTCTAAGGAAATGTGGTGGGGAACAGAGAGAAGGGTGGGAACTCTGATGGTCAGAAGAGGGACCCATTGATCTGGGGCCCTCTGTCGGTCAACAAGGCCGTCGAAAGTCCTGGGAGGGAAATTTCGCACAAGCTCGAAACGTCAGAATTCACCATTTCAAATCAGTGTTTTGAATCCCATTGTTAGATTTCGCTTTTGAAAGCTGACAGTGCGGGAGGCTTTGAACAACCCTGAAACTTTGAAGCCTGGCCTACGCATTGCAAGGCAATGACACTGACGTGGCCGGTTCGAATCCTTCTGACATCCCGTTTGTTTTCAAAGTCCGAAATCTAGCTGCGTTCTTGGAAATGGGAAGGCTGAACGGGGAAGCCGTATTAGGAGGCTACAGACTCGTGATATCTGAACGCGCTCAGAGCCCCAGCCCAAGCCAAAAACAATTTTAGTGGCAGAGAATAGCGGAGAGAGAATAGAGTCAGCTAATTCAGGGCTCTTTTTGTAGCAGGAACTCATTTGCATATTAGGTGACACACACATCATGTAGCCAATCCTCCAAGAGCTTACAGTAGCCCCTGTAAGAAGAGCTCTGTAAGCTCTTGGAGGATTGGCTACATTAGGGGGTGTGGCCTAATATGCAAAGGAGTTCCTGCTACAAAAAGAGCCCTAAGTCGACCCACTCGTCCATCTGGCTCTGTATTCTTTATGCTGATTGGTGGTAGCTCCCTAGAGGAGGGTGCAGGGGGAAGGTCTTTTCCTTCCACCTGCTCCCTGGGACGGGGGATGCCAGGAACCGAAGCAGCAACCTCCCACATGCCAAACGGAGGATCTGCCGCTGAGCTCCTCCTGCAGTGCAAAGTGATGGCTCCCCCCCACTCATCTGTCCCGCTTTCCTTCCTCTGCAGACCGAGGAAGACAAGAAGAACTTGCTGAGACTCCAAGATCTGGTGGACAAGCTGCAGCTGAAAGTCAAAGCTTACAAGAGGCAGGCAGAAGAAGCGGTGAGCTCCTCTCCTCCGACACGGTTGTTTTCTCGACCTGATCAAGTGTAATTATGGCAGAGATCCCGGCTGCCAGGCTGAACCTTAGCTCCCTGGCAAACCGAGAGCAGCTTTGCTGAACCTGAGCTGCTGACGTACTCAGGGGTCGTTTCGTAGAAAAAGAGCTAGGGGGAACTCATTAGCATAACTCATTAGCATATGCCACACCCCCTGACATCACCGGAACTGTGTCATAAGGCCACACCCCCTGACATCACTGGAAGTGTGTCATAAGGCCACACACCCCGCCCCCAACGGTCCCGGCCGCCGCCGCCGGCCTTGCAGCTCCACTGCCGAGCCCCATGAGGGGCCCGGCGGTGGACCTGCAAGGCC